CAGCGGAGGGATCGGACGTGTGCGGCGGCAGAAGTAACGCCGGTGGGAAGCCAGCGGAGAGATCGGACGTGAGTCCCATTAGTGTGTGTGTTGTAGGAGAGGGAGAGAGAGTGTGTGTGCGGAGTAGTATCTGAGCTAGTGTTGATAAATTAACAATGTAAACTTAGCCTTATAAGAACATAAATCTATTAAAAAGTATCATATCTGAAATTATAAGAAAATGCTAAGGTCTCGTTACAGGATAGTACAGTCATCGTTTGCACCATTAGATACACATATAGGTTATGTTGTGTGAATAATTAACGGTACCAAACACTGACAGGACCATTCCATCAACGGGACCTTAGCGTTCCCCAAAATTATAACAACCTTCTACCTACCTACTACCGTCCGTACATGTGTACAATCCTCCCCAATTACAATACATAAAAATATCATCAACTCCGTATCTTTAATTCCATACAATATTCGACAAATAACTACCAATCTTAAACTTTATTTATATATTTTTATACTCTATTTTTGAATCACATAATGCGATAGCTAGCAAACTAACTAATCATACTTCGGACACTTAAAATTTTGGATAAATAAATCACATTAGAAAAAAATGATTTTCATAAGTTTAAAGTCAAATATCCTCTATAGATAAATCAGATGGAAGTTGATATCCAAATATCATAGAGTAGTCATCCATCTCATCACTTGTGAATTTTGGTATTCTCCAACCTACCTCTGAATCTTCACCATATTTTAGCAGCTCTATCACCTATTATTAAAAAAATATAATAATAAGATTGTTAAGTATAATATAAAGGTAAATTAATTTACTTATATAAATATGCTAAATTAATTATATTTCAATATAAAATGACTTATATAAATATGCTGAATTAATGTACCATATTAAATTTTATCTCATATTTAAAATGCTAAGACAAAAAAGTTGAAACAAAATATCAAAATTGCATAGATAATTAATTTAAAAAAAAAAAAGCAAAGAACATAAATGAATAAAGTACCTCAGTCATCGATGGTCGGTACAACGAAGATTGCCTTACACAATACGACGCCGTTAGGGCTACTTTAAACAATTGATCCATCTCATATTTGCCTTTCAATTTTGGATCAACTAACTCCCTTAAATTCCCAGATTCCATTAAAGGCCTCGCCTGGATCACAAAAGAAATTGAAATAATTAAGCAATTTATTGAGTTGGTAGAATTATTTATTTTATTCCTCCTTTATTAAATTTAAAATAATTAATATGAATATATATGACATAATTAAATAAAAAATGTATACCCAAAGAAGTAGATTTTGTCGGGCCGAGTCGACGGGCCTCCGGCCCGTCACAATCTCTAAAACAAGAATCCCAAAGGCAAAAACATCAATTTTCTCATCCACAATCCCGTGCATGAAATATTCGGGAGCCAAATAACCAAACGTGCCCTCAATTGGAATACCCAAATGGTGACTCCATTTGTTAGGCAGCCATTTGGCAAGACCAAAATCAGATATCTGTATTTAAAAAAAAAAAAAAACAGAATTTAACAAAAAAAAATTGAATTTAATTACATCAATACATGTAAGATTGTCATTTTAGTCATTGGTTTGACGCAATTGCATTCTTAGTCCCAAGATTCCAACTTTTTATTTTTCGATCTTGTAATTTAACATTTTGATGCGATTTCAGTCATTTGGGATTGAAATTGCAACAAAATTTAAAATTACAGGCTTAAATTGTTAATAAAAAATTCATCCTATAAATTTTTTATTAGCAATTTAAGTCCTATAATTTAAAATTTTGTTGCAGTTTTAGTCCTCAAAGGACTCAAATTGCATTGAATTTTTAAATCATAAAACCAAATAACAAAATGTTCATATCTTTGGATTAAAAACACCACCGAATCAAATCAACATGACTAAAATTACAATTTTGTCTTTATTTAAATATGAACTAAATAAATAATAAATAATAGAAGAATGGGAAAATTGTGTTAATTTTATTCACCTGTGGTTCGTAATCTGGGCCAAGAAGAACATTAGAGGCTTTAATATCACGATGGATTATTCTATGCTTGCAGCATTTGTGAAGATAATGTAGACCCTTTGCAATCCCCATTATTATTTTGTATCTTACTGCCCAATCAAGGGTCTTGCTTGTTTCACCTAATTTAGACACCATCTAATTATTTCATCAAACTTTGAGACAATTATTAATGCTAACTCATTTCAAAATACCATGAAAAACTAGTTATAAGATGGAAAAACTAGGGTGCATTCATTTAGGATTTCTAAAGATTTTTCTTTAAAGATTTATTAGAAATTTTGGTGCATTCAATTTAGACTTTTAAATAGTCTCGGAGTATTCATTTGAGATTTTAAAAAAAGTCTGTACAAAACCTTCTATTCAACTAATTTGAGACTTACATTTGTGTATTTAGTTAGGATTTCTAAAGAATTTTTAAGACCTTAGAAATCCTGGTGTATTCAATTTAGATTTGGTATTCAATTGAGATTGTAAAAAGTCTTACAAAATTTGAAGGTATTTAACTTATTTGAGACTATGATTTGTTAAGACCTTTTAAGATTTGATGAAATTTCTAAAGAAAAAAAATTTATACGAAATCTCACTTCAAATCTCACCTCCAGACTTACATAATTTCTCCAAAACCTAGAAACCTTGCCAAATTTCAAATCTTAAAAGCTATCAAAATTTCACTTGAAATCCAAATTAAAATACACCCTAGACTTTCTTAGATTGTTGGGATTTCAAAAGAAAAAAGAAAACCTAAATTTTACTCCAAATCTCATGTCCGTCTGAAAATCTTAAAAAGTCTCGAAATGTGTACTTTGTAGATAGAAAAATTAAGATGAGAGCGCATATAAACATCGGAAACAAACCCACCGTGCAGCGCAGATGCAAGGGTTCCATTGGGATAGAATTCGAAAATGAGATAGAGCCCATTTTCTATGCAATAGCCCACCAATTTTGCAGTGTTAGGATGGTTCACTTGCCCAATCACACCCAACTCATTAAGAAATTCTCTTTCCTTTTTTGAACTATTGTTACTGTCCTTAGCCAAACGCTTCACTGCTATGCTGCATGCATTCTCAACTTCCCCTCTATAAACCTCTGAATACCCTCCTTGTCCCACCATATTATCTGCACAAAAAAATTTATTCACAAAAAAACCCATAAACAAATTAATAATTAAGAAGAAAAAAAAAACATACCGATGTCGAAATCGTTTGTAGCACTCGCGATTTCTTGATAAGTAAAACACCTGAGCAGAGGCCCCTGCTTTTGGTTTCCAAACGAGGAGGCGTCGTCACGGTTTTGCTTTCTCATCCTCAAATCGTGCGAAAACCGAAAAAGACTTGAAATGGACTTGAATGTCGACTTGGGCTTGTTACTCGATTCTTGTTGCTTCCCTTTCGATGCTGTGGACATCGAACGAGCGTTTGAGCCGCTGCTTATTGTTTCGTCCGAATTATTAGAGCATTTTTCATAGTCATCGTCCGCTTGAAAATCATACACTGATCTTGGTGATGGTTTTTTTGACTTCATTTCTAGTATTGTCTCGTTTTCCTCTGACGAAATCGAGTTTTCGGACCACAATCTACATCGGGCTTCCACATCGAATTCTGTCGATCGTCATGTAATTGATAAATAGGACATTTTAGTACTTGAAGATCACAATATCATGTTTGAGTAGACTTAACGATTAAGCAGGTCGACTCATCATACTCTAATATAAAAAACAGACATATGTATACTATCAAATATAATGCTTGCGTATATGTTAAAAGAGTACGAAAAACTAATGCGTGAAAGGACATGGATGCCCTCGAAGTCGGTTTTTATCGAAGGCCATCTAAAAATGGACGAAAAACAAAGCACACTAACCATTAATGGAGTTTGCTTGAAGATGTTGTGCTAGAGTTTCATTTCTTGGGACGAGGACGAATGAGCAACCGTCAGGGACATTCTTACAGCAGTAACTCGAGATTTCGGTCGGCGCTCTATTTGGCAAAAGTGTCAATGCAATTCTCGATATTTTCTTCCACAAATTCGTTATGAACGAGTTTCTTTCTGACCTGTTTGGCGATTTGTTTCCATTGCTGCCAATCACGAGATAATTCGCCCTCGTTATTTTCGCTTCCTCTATCAGCCCTTTACCTGTACTCGAGCTTAATCCAACTCTAGCCTCCAAATACACCTGATAATATACAGTATGATCAAAGCATAATGAGCTTCCAAAAACGAAAGACATTGATTAATATATTCGTTTTGATACGAGTTACATTGGTTAGTTAAGGGAAATTGCATTGTTAGTCCTTCAAACGATGAAAGTTTCGCAATTTTGATCCTTATAAGAGTGGCTACATGTCAAAATATCACTCGGGTTAATGCAATCGAGAGATATATATTGCCTCGTTAGCTTGACATGTGTTGACAAGGTCCCCCACGATCGATATAACAAATGATTTGGCCTGCCGAAATTGTTTTTGATGCTTTCGCTTCTTCACGTACTTCTCCTCTCTTCTCGTTTTCTTATTTGGCATCCCCCCTGTTTTATCTGCCAAACACACACACACTACAAAATTTGTCTTCATTGTTAACTTGGAAACGAAAAAAAAAAAGAAAAAAAAAAATTGCCCCCCGAGAAGTAGCCCAATCGAGCCTAGAAAAGCTCGCGTCTTTTAAATTCACCAGCTTCTTCATTGCAATTCCATGCATGATACTTGAGAAAAACTAACCGATTACATGTAAGGCCACGATAGTGTCCCCTGGCTGCGCAAGGACTTGGATAGCCCGACCGAGAAGCTCCTTACTCTCATCGGCATCCAAAGAAATCCCTATGAGAATTTTTGCAGGCAATGAGGGTATCATTGCAATTTTGTTTACTTATTGATTGAGTGAGAAAATTTAGTTAAAGACTTGATTTCTAAATTTTCAACTCTTATAAACCATGTGAGCTCGTTGTCCTTCAGATATATGATGCATGGGGACCAAAATTAAGATGATTCTTACTTCTAAAGGGATTGAGACCACCTACGAGGGAATCAATTTTTCTTATTTGACAAGCAAATTTTAAGACAAAGTTAAAAAAAAAAAAAAAAAAA